AAGTTGTTTTCACGTAAAAAAAAAAATAATTAAAATTTAAAATTAAACAAAAATATTATCACGTCAAATTTTTAATTGGTAAAAAGGTATTTTTTCTAAGTTTATCAGGAATGCAAGCACGTCATCATACGCTACCGCACACATTACACATGTTCAATATCCATACGTTATAATGCATACATCGTTATAGTATCTAAATCATGACAAATCAAAATTATATTTAAAATATAAAATCTGATGAATATGAATAGACTTATCGGTTGTTCACATTCATTCGACTTTTCAGTGACAAAAATATAGAATTCCGGTTAAGTGCACTATACTAGTCTAAAACAACAATGCACGCACGCTTATTTTTTTTTTGATATCTATTCGCTGTTTATGCACTCGACCACAATAATCTTAATAAACTATTAAACATTTTTGATAAAATTCTAAGCAGCTGCAGTTTCACGATATTCTATACACTTAGGCCTAACTGAATAAATAAACATACTAATAAATAAATAGCGCTATAATTGTAGATAAATATCACAGGAATGTGCACTATATAGTTGACCATAATACATGCCATGTTTGGCGTATCCGATTTTATAAACTGCAGCAGCGTGCGACGTATGCAATGTAATTATGCAAAACTTGTTTTAACCACTATATCGTTTGCAAACGTGAAGTGTTCATTTTAAATTTCTCGTCATGTATTATATATATATGTATAATTTCTATCTCTCATTGCCAACACGCACACACACACACTACATTTTCCAGTGATAAATTATTATTCTAATTATTCTAGTTTATGCTAGAAATCCATATTGTATCTATATACCACTTATTATTTGTCAAGTAAAATATTTGCTAAATTTAAAAAAAATAGAATTCTATTGTAATACAAAAAAAGTTGCAAAGTATTAACATAATTATGATTACAGTGGAAATGGACACTGTTCGACGATTATATCTTTCAAACATTTGAAATCCAAATTATTTTTGATTCAAAAAATTTTTATTTACGCTACAAAAAACTTTTTATAGTTGTTTTTATTGCTTAGACATTATTATAAAATATCGTAAAATTCAACCGGAAAACATTTTGCAAATAAAGTATTTGTGTATTTTTTCTTTCATAATTCATCATTTAAGTAATTTTCTCCGTAAAATGTAAAAGCTATTTAACTGTTAAATGAATACAAAAAATAAGCTTAGTTCTTTCACTTTTTATAAAAACGTTTTAAATCTTTCTGTTTCTGCATCAACATTTGTATTGTTATTTAATTTTGTAAATACTCGTAAATCTAATTTTTAATCATATCGAAATTATCCACGTGTTATAATACTGATATAAATGTTACAGTTTAAAGTTTTGATAAAATTCCTATAGATTACAAATTACAAATTTAATATTATTAATTAATTAATCATTAAAATGTTGATATTTTAAAAATAAAATACTATAATGTACATCATAAATTAAATTAAAATAACTTGCCAAAAATATACATTATATTAAATTTTTAAGTAAAACAAAATGTGTTTATAAGCAGGTACGGAAATCTCAACAATTTTAAGGATTTCGGTTTCAGTTCCGGTATTTTAAAATAAAATTTTAATGTTCCGGTTCCGATTAAAAAATATTTTAACCAATTCCAACTTTTTTTTTGTTAACACGGAAAAAAGTATATAAAATAGATACTTAAGTATAAGATGCATTTTAATGTGAAGAAATACACTTTTATACTGAAAAAATCTGAATTTTATCAAAATAGTATATTATTATAATTATGATTGTAAGAACCTGTATGGATTTTGTTACCAAGTTAAACTAATGTAAAAGTATAAATGTTCTTGTTTTGTTCTTCATCATAAAACTTTAAAGTTATGTTAATATACATTAATTTTGGTTTTAACTTTCAAGAAAAATTTAATAATGTTACTGCAGTTAAAATATAAATAAAAAATGATGTAACATTAATTATATTAATCATAGGTAGGTTATAATAGGTACTATATTAGTTATAACTAGGACCCGGATTCCAATGTAAAGTGCATATTTTTTTGGTTTATCATACGCAATGCTTTCTAAGAACATTATTCGTTTCATGTAATGAGGGTTTCAAAACTACAAATTTTATTTTACATTTTTTCGCATATTTCGACGTTTTTTCATTTTTAGAGCATTTTTAGTATTATTGGGTCATTTTGTTGATTTTTAATGATATAATCGATATACTAAACAAATTTAGCCTATTCAAAAGAAAATCAAAAGAAAAATTATTTTCTTGATATTTAATTAGGTTTATCAGGTTTTTTCATACACATGGTCAATCTTTATTTTTCGATTCAATTTTTATCTTATCTTAATTTATTATTGACTATGGAACGTCACCAGTATTCGGTCAAATAACAAATCAACTTTAGTTTATATTACCTCGCAGACTTTGCTCGTATTACGTGTGAATGTGATTTTAATATATTAAATAGTGTGTAAAATAATGTCCAGACAAAAAAAAAATGTTCATTTTTAAGTTCATTTTAGTGATAAAATGCATTTTTTAAGGACATTTTTGGCTATTTTTAGAGCATATTTGTATGGTTTTAAGTGCATATAAATTCGGGTCTTAGTTATAACATAATTTTAAAAAAATTTTGATGTATGTTATATTATATTCAGACGCGGATTTAGAATTCAAATTGGGGGGGTCATTTTTTCGAAAGTACAAAAAGATAATACACAATTACAAAATAATAAAAGTAAATTATTAATTAAAATTAGAATGTTATGAATATATGGAACTGTTAATTTTTAAAATTAAATAACAAAGTTTAATTTTCTTTGTTTTATTTCTCCAAATTTAGAAATAATATTATCAACATTTATGTGTATATTCTTGTGAATATTGAACAAATCGTTCCTTTCCCATGTTTAAACGAAGCCATGAAACCTTAAGCCTTAAAATGCCTGGGAATAGAGAATGATCGCATGTATAGTGTTTTTTAACAAGTTATTAGAACCTAAATTAGCGATTAGCGGTGCCATATCAAGTAAATGGTATAATATTATATAAACATACGGGTAACAGATTAGAAGTAACCGAATTGGTTCCCGTTTGTGTACAGGTTAGGCGAGCCAGTGCATTGAGAGCAAAAAACAAATTCTTAAAAGCTATATGTATGACATATAGACACAATTATTATATCGATATGATAGAGTATAGAAATATAATAGATATAATATAGATTACTAGATACTAGCAAACAGGAAAGAAATAACAAATACTTGGAAAATTGTATGACTGAGTACATTAATGAGAAGATTACGAGAATTGAATATTTAAAGAAAGTTAGCTTCAAATTTGCAAATCAGTGGTTTTAAAATGTATTTATTATATTTTATTATTTGTATTTCGTACACCTAAGTGATGACTAGTTGACTTCCAAATCAACGATTTAAAATTGTATATTTTTATCATTTTTTTTTTTTTTTATCATACATTAACACATATTAACCAAGCCTACTTTAAAGTTAATAGTCCTAAGCCTGTAAAATTTAAAAGGAAAATGTGCGTAGTTAAACGGAAACCAATTCGGCTATACCTATTAAAATACCTCTTTCAGACGACAACCAATTCGGCATATAGGGTTGGAGCTCGGGAACCAATTCGGTACCAGCCAACGAATTGTCAGTAATCTTACGATTACGGATAATACGAATTTACAGGACAATAGTCATTATGAAATATAATATATATTAAGTTGTATGTATTATATGCAGTAATAATAATACAATTATTTTGAAAAAAATAAAAATAATATAATAATTAATTAATTTTTCTTGCAAAAAAAAAATATAATAAACATAATTTTATTTATTAGTAATAGTTGGTTATTATTAAAGCTGTTTATTTTAATTATTGGATAGTAATGTTAAAGATGTATGTAAAAAATAATTTTGAAGGGCCCATAATTGTAATTGCCTAGGAGCCCACAAATGTTTAATCCGGCACTGCCGGTCCCAGATCTGATTCTTTATGGTTTGGTTCCAGTCCCTGTCTATAAGTTACAATAACATTAGATAATATATACATTGTATTATTCGATAAATAAAAAATATAATATATCTACTGATAATACTATCAATAAAAAAATGCCTGAAAAATCTACAAATTTATTTGAGCAAAGTTTAAACATGACACGCTGATTAATTACAAAATAAATTATTAATATTGTCTTATACATCTTATACGCGGATTATTTATTTAAAAATAATATGTGTTTTAGTATAAATATAAATAACAAGGGCATCAATTATTTATTTGTGTTAGTATCATATTCATAAAAAATAAATTCAAAATATTTTTAATACTACCAAATTAAATAAAAAATATATTCATATATTTATTAATTATTTAATTGCTAACATTATAATGATAAAATTGATAATTTATTAGAATATAATTAATATAAGAAATCATTTTAAATCATAAAATTATTATAAACCCACAGAGTGTTAGGATATATGTTATAATTTGAAAAACGTAGGTACTTAAAAATTAATACTAACGTAAACATAAAATAAAAACTAAATATTGCATTTTATATTTTTATAACTAGTATTTAATTCCAATCATTATTACTTTTAAGCAGATCTTTCAAAACTTACAACCTATTCAAGCTACAATTGTTAGCTACAACTATTAAAACCTTTTACAAATTTCTTATAAAACTGTTGTTTATATAAAGATATATCTGGAATATATTAAAATATAATGAATCTAATAAGGAAAAAAAAATATTATTTTAATAAAATAAATATAGTAGTTTTAATGTTTTAAAATTTGTATACTAAGTTTTGTATAATAATATTATCAAACTAATTTTGAAAACAATTATGTAAACATTAAATTATAACTGTTTAAAATGTATGTATAATTAATGTAAACAATTAATATTAATAAAAATTTGTTGTAGAACAGAAGAAAAATATAATAAAATTAACTTACAATGAATTTCCCAGTTAGCATCCAAGAGCAAAATTAAAGTCATTCGTAACGTTTAAAAGAGACTCGTGCAACTAAAAATAATATATGTTTCCGATTTAATGCTATGGGTGGAGCTTCAATAGGTTCCCTAAAAATTGGCTACCAATAGCATATGGTTAGAGGAGGATATCATTTTGTTTTAAATAGATACCAACCCCGTAGACTAGACAAGTTTATTTTTGTCAGCATGTTTGTGTTAACCTTATGCAGAAGGGCCCCCCACAAAATTATGTCGTAAAACAAATGTAAGCGTACCAATGGAATGCGTGATAAAACGGATACACAAAAAAAAAATTTTAAAAAATGAACTAACAAAATTGCATTGCAAAAATATATTTTAACAACAGAACTATTATCTATGTAACTTAATACAAATTGTACTTTACAAAAATTATAAAACAAAAAGTATTTCAATTTTAGTTTACATAAAATCATACATTAATTGACTGAGTTTTCATGTAATATTTATATAAGGCAATGTGCACATATTATAGATACACCCTTCGTCCTTCGACCTATAGAGTTGGTTCGATTCGAACACACTGTAATATCACATACATAGTTATGCATATAAAATAAATGATATATACGCTGGTCAAATTACAAAGTATCATAATATCATATCATAGCAAACATCAATGGATTATGATGTAACAAGCAAACAAAAATGTAATCAATTTAAAGCAGATGGCAATTTGTTCACCCACTCGTAAATAATCAACGAGTTCACAGCCCATATGCATAATTAGAGAGAGGGGATCAGGTTTAACCCCCTCCCCCAAGGGCTAAATAAAATCATGAAGTGATATTATAATTTGTATGTTTATTGTTTCGTAGTTGCGATAAAGATATAATTAAATAAATTAAATTATATATTTCACTATGAAATGCATGGTCGAAAGAATACAAATTTATGATCGGTTTTCAAAACTATTTTGCTATAAATTGTAAAGCAAGATGTATGGAATAATATTTAAAACAATTAAAATGTAATGTGTAATAATTAGCTACCATGAGTTGTGAGAAAACTTTTTATTCAACTGGTTATTTTTACTATAAATACCTTTGTGTTTCAAAATTAGAAAACGGTACGATTGTAGAAAGGTAGTTTTTCAAGTTTATTATTTTTTCAAATCCTCTTCCTCCCCTCACATAACATTATGCAGCACACTACGATATATATCTAAGTAGTGCATGTATTGGAATCGCTCATAAAAAAACAGCCGCATTTTCCGGTACAACAAATTTCGGCAGAAGAAAAAAACGGACATCGAAACTATAATATATTTAGCGCATCGATCGTCGTCATTTCTGAAAAACATGACTCGTTATAAGCATAACCCTACGTCCTATATACGCCGTACACTGTAGACCTGTTACGTATTATATATGCACCCCGAACCCTTAGTCGCGTCCTGTGAACATTCGGTGGCATATTATAACTATTATTTTTGTTATTTGTCTTCGGACGTCATCGCGCCTGAGCAGCAGCTGAGATGCCGTTTAAGAATATGACACGTAGTTGACGACCGGCTCATCGCACATTTATTATGTTTTAATAGGTATAAATACAGGCCTGCTGCAAGTACCTACGTGGGTCTATTCGGAGCCTAAATAAATAAATAATAAGAAAAAATATCTTTCTCGTCTGTACGCACATCAACCCTCCGTCGTACGTGTGACTCTGTTCTTTCGTTTGCTGCGCAAGTTATAAATCTTATTTCGGTAGCGAACAGTTCCTATATTTCACCCGAAAAAAAAGTATTTATTCTTGTCATCTTCAAAACGTTTTGTCCATTTATCATGGTACATTTAACTGAACTACACGTGGAAATTGGTGTTGCGCATACATGAAAGACACGTCGTATAATAATTGAATCACTAAATGCAAGAAGGGCTGTCCAAATTTCATAAATTGAAACAAGAAAAACAAAAAACTTAACATCTTAACTTAATAACAAGAATTTTTTTTTTTTTTTTTATTAAAATATATAAAATTTACAATCTGTATAAAAAAAAAAATACAATAAGCAAATATGTTAACAATATATGACGGACAAGAAACAGCGATTTGGGAACCCATCCAGTGATAGGACCCATGTACAAGAATTTATAATATACAATATATAATATCTTAGCCTATAATTAATAACCAAGCATCTCTGGAAGAAAATTGAAGGAAAAAATTAAAAAATGCGTATTAAATAGAAATTACAATGATATTGTACTATTCTCAAAGACATCTATGAAATTTTATAAAACTAATTGTTATAAATTTAATCAGTTACATTATTTTTAACATTATTTTTAAACCCTTGAAAGTGTGTTATTTTTTAGAAAACTACAATTTATAGAAATTGAAAGTACAAAAATAATATTGTGATACACAAAATGCGTTGAAAAAAAAAATCATTTTATTGCTTTTATTTACTTCAATTTTTTCCATAAATATTAAGTTTTTTGTCTCTCTTGAACAATTTATGAAATGTGGACATGTGCCCTTCTTGCATTTAGTTATTCATATGGGCAAGTCCGTTTTCGACCAAAAAAAAAATTTATATAATACATTTAAAATAATAAAATAATGATATAGAATGTTTGATTATGATGGAAAAAACTATAATATATTAATGACGATTCAGGGTTTTACTCACGTTGTGGGGTTTTAGATTCACATACAGAGCATAATCCAATTTGCAACTGTATTAAGATTTGTACAAAAACTAGGTTAGGCTTAGACTATAATTCCCCTTGGGGCGAAGCCCTATCCCCCCAAAAAGTGCCACGCAGTGGCACTCGAGTTTGTGAGTGGAGCTGGCAGGCGTAACGAGCGAAGTCCTAAAATTTTTAAAATTAAAGTTCCAATTTTTCGAAAAAAAAAATGCAAACAATTTTCATTACGATAAAAGATTAAAACTAGATACAAAATATTTTTCTCTTTTATATTAATATTTAAATAATTATTGAAAAAAATTGTACATCATTATTTTATTATTTTAAATTTATTATATAAATTTTTGTCTTGGTCGAAAAGGGAATCGGTCGAAAAGGGAAGGGTACGTTTTTGATCGAAAATGGCCATGCCCATTCATATATCATAACTATTCTGAGCAAAAAGGTCATATGTCCAAGACATGTGCCGTTTTTGCATTTAACACTAAATATAGTCATTTTATAATGTACCTGTAAACAAGGTATGTACCTCGTTTGCACAGAATAAACAATGAATCTGATACTTTTTATATTTGTCAAACCTAAACAAAAATCTGTAAAAATGTGATTTAATAAAAATTATGAACATGTAGGTACTACTTTTGTATTTAATTATTCAATTATTGCGTTATATTTACGACAATACGAGTACATGTATAATTATTAATTATTAATAATTATTATTCTATTTTTTCTATTTTCTGAACGTTTTTTCCATAATTTATCATAAGTATTTTTATAATATCTATCTGCAAATATTACATATGTGTGATGACATTATTATATATAATTCTTTAAATTGAGTATTTCAATACATGGAATTTTAATAAATTAACTGTTTAAATCAATAATAATGATTATATAAATTTATCATTTTTTTTTTTTTCATTAATTATATACTTCAAGAGAATAATTGTTAATTTAACACGACTTGATTATTTATCTATTATTATAAACAATATATTTGATTTATTTGAACAGTATTAAATGATTTATTTTCCTTATTCCTGACACAAATTACGCTAATAAGGGTATAAAAAGTTGTACCTAAATGAATAAAATATAATTACAAAAAATTGACTTACCATTGTTTAATTCTTTGAACTGATTAAATTTAAAAAATGGAAGGTAAGTTTTACCTCTATAATGAGACATCATATTTGAGTGTAAATCTCACCCCCTTAGGAATAAAAACGGTTACCTACTTAGCTCACCATCCTTAATACAACCCTATTAAGTATATGTTTTAAGTTAATTTACTTACATTGAAATGGATTAAAATGAGATTCAGTAGTATAATAAAAATATATAAGCCCAACTGTTATATTCGACCTAACGATTAAAATCATCTTTTACGATATTGTATTATGACATGACATTTAACCTAGAAATTAAATTTTTACAAATGGTTTTTTCAATACCATAAACTTCAGAATGACCGGAAAAATATGAACAAATTTTTAAAGCACCATACATTTTTAATATTTTTTTTTATCATAATTCTACAGTCATGATTATCCTTAACCTTAACCACCACAATCGCGTGCAGTATCTTTCTACTGTTAAATACACTCTCCACCTCCTCAGTGATTTAATATTATTTGCGTACACTTACTATTCATTATTTATACATTTACGTATGAAATATAGCACATTGATTTAAAGTTCTGTAAAGTATCATTAATTTATTTGATATAACAATGTGAATCACTTGACCTATACTCGTACAATACCACAACTCATCATCTAAAAAGCGGCATCACTATATATCTATATAATCGATATTAAATTTGTTAACTTTTTATAACAAAGAATTATTTTATACTTTTATGTTTACAAAGAAATAATTTTTCAAAAATGAAAAATATTGTATAGGAAGAATGCACACACATTTAAAAGCTTTGGAATTAATTATTAAGAACTTGGATAAAAGGTTTAAGGAAAAATCGATTATATTTAATTTTTAAAACTACACTAGCTAGTGAATTACACAACTACATAACTACCTACAATTTGTCATTGTTATATAATTATGAGCAATAATTAACGCTTTATATCTCCGGGATACTCCTTGGAGTTTTTCATTTTTCGTTACTGATTTTTAATTTATTCCAATGTATTAAACTACTACAACTATTTTATTATTTTTGTAATTATATTAATCGATTAAATATTAAAAACACATAGTTTAATAGATTGAAGTTTCAAAATAAAATATCGAAAATTCATAAGTGAGTGTGTGACTAGTGTCTAGTGACTAGTGAGGTTACCAATAATAATATTGAATTAAGTCATTTTTCATAAGTCAAAGTTGTTTAAATTTATGTCTT